TATTATTATTATTATTATTATTATTATTATTATTATTATTATTATTATTATTATTATTATTATTACTATTATTATTATTGATTCGATTTAATTCACCATCAATAGTTAAGTAACTACGACGAGCAGCAAAAGGAGCAACAATATTATAAGATCGTAATCGACTATTTAGCTTTTGTAAAGCTTCTTCCAAATAACTTTTTTGTGCTTGCTCCCAATTCCTGTCACGTTTATCGAATAGATGATGAGCAATTACGTGTCTTTTCCAATTTGTCTGCAAGTTCTTACGAAATAGACGAATTTCAGAGTCAACTTCTTTTTGCATTTCGATCCATGCGGGAGCTGCTCCTTGTCGTTGTACTAGGCGATTCCTGCAATAATATATTGGTATTAGTAATGATTATCACAGATTACACTCCGAGTATACCTTAGACATACACTTACATTAGGAATTCAGTGCGATGAATATATGGATTCTACATGATCATTATTGATGGTTAGTAATTGGATAATCAGATAATCAAAAGAATAAAATTATTTAATATACCATTTCGTTTTTATCGACTGGCAATGGTTTACCTCGATAAGGAAGATTTTTAAATTCTCCTGCGGCCATTGCCTCCTGAATGCGCTGCTCGACAAGTGATTCCCATTGTGTAATACTTTTTGAAACGAATCTGGTGGTTGTGAATGAACTATGATCATCATTATCACCAGTAGGATATTTTTTAGAGATTGAATATTCTGCTGCTGCTTCTCTAGCATCAACTATTCTTGATTGTTTTGCTTCTCGTTGCTTTATTTTTTTCTGTTCTGGAGTTAATGATGTTTTTTTCGGTGATGATGATTTTGATGACATTTCATCATTAGTAGCAGCAATAGCTATAATGACAGCAGAAGAATCGTTTTCATTCTTGAATCTCTGATCATTGAAATCAGAAAGTGATGATAATGCGTTCTTATTAATTCGAGCATCAATAAACTCTTTCACTGAATCTCGTTTAACTTTTAATGGAGGATACTTGTCCTCAATCATACGCACAACCGTTGATTGGATAGGTTCATCACCTGTCCATGGAATATCTGTTGGTGAGACGAATGAATTTTTTAAAATTGTATTAATTGATGCTGGTTTCTTTATACTAAGATCATTTTCGATTTCTTTTTCAGTTTCAGCTTCAGTTTCATCTTTTTCTCCTGATGATGATTTTGGTATTGATGAATTAATATGACGTACATTTTGTGATAGTAAACATTGGTGACGGATCTCATAGAAAAAATTGTAATTAATATTTATTGGAGAGATTTTGTGGTATTTTAGAAACATTTTCAACGAAAAATCAATCAGTCTCAGGAAAATATTTATATAGATACAACGATATAATGATATACATATCGATACATGTCATAAAATCTATGTGGATTCCTAAATCTGACTGGAACCGGAAATCCGTGCGATCTGGATGGAATCGGGAATTCACACGATTTGGCGCAGCTGAATCAAAAATGGGAATTTTTTAACATTCAAATATTTTTGCCGATCAGAGTGAATCAAAAACGGGAATTTTGCAATGCAAAAATAGCTTGTATCTCAAAATTTTGCCAATGAAACTATCTTTTATATTCTAATAAAAATTTTACTTCCTATATATATGTTTTTTATATAACCTGATCTAGACACTAATCGAAATTTTAAGGAAATTAAGAATATTAGATGGTTGAATGTCAGATTGACTTTCTTTCGCCATGGCTAGGGTATTTTTGGTAATTTGAATGATTTAATTGGTATATATCGGTATGAATAATTCGAAAAAGGGATCTGTTAAAGCCATGTAGTTACACATAATTTTTAATTCGATCTGGATTGTAATCATGTGACCAAAATTGAATAGCCAATAAAAATACTAGCGTTGGCTTACCAGTAACAATGTGTTTTAACATTTTTTGAATAAATCCATATCAAAAGTATTAATCAAATAATTTTATAATGTTCTGATTGACAACAAAATAAATCGACAAATTAATTTGATTGTTATTAATATTATTAAAATTGATTTTTCAAAATTATTTTATCCAAAGATCTCTATTTTATCAAATATTTACCAAAAAATCTGCTGAATTCAGTCATAACAAAATCAATATAAAGAAACTGGATATTCAAAAACTCTTACTAATTCTAATCATTACTAATAATTTTAGAAAAATATCAAAAAAATTAATTAACTTTGAATATTTATTATTATAATTATATTAGAAAAGTAATATATATTATATAATATTAAGATAATTTTCTCTTATCTTCAGATAAGATTTTTATTATATTTAATTAGCTAATTATTTTTGATTATGTAAAAGATAAAATTTTTGAGATTTTCTCTTACTTCTCCCTTTGATAATTATATAATATATGTTACTTCTTTTATAAAATTATTAATTTCATAATTTCTAATAAATTATAAAATTATAAAAATTATATAAAAAATTTAAAATATTTCTTTAATTATTTTATATATTATTAAATATTATACTTATTTAAATTTAATTTTTTATTTTTATATTTTTATATTTTATATTTTTATTTTTTTATTTATATAGTCAAACCTCTTTATAATCACCACTCTCAAGAAAGTAAAATTTGATAACTATAAAGGAAATGTAACTATAAAGAAGTTTTTTTACTATGTTTATATGTAAATAAGAAAGCAAAATAGGATGACTATAGAGGGATATGACTAAGGTTGCTTGCCGAAATCTCTTAGTGACTGTCTAAATTCTGTCAAAATTATAATAAATTATTAGTAAATAACCCATCAAAATTCTGACGAATTTTGAAACTCGTCGTAACTGAAATTATGTCAAAATTCTAATTAACAATTAGTGTGTAACCTGTCAAAATTATAACGATATTTTTCTGAAAGGATTTAGGCAAGTATCCTTAGTGCTGACCAAGGGCTATCTGATGATGAGATAATATTTTGTTTGAGCATTTTATCAATTTCAGTTTTGATAAACTCTTTTTTTAGTGGTGATCTTTTATAATATGATTTTAAAGCTATTAGTTGCCTAGTTTCAGTGTTTATTTCATATTGAATTATATTAGTTCTATCAGGACTTGATATATCAAATAGATCATTATATTCAGCTAATAGTTGATCTATTTGTTGTTGTTGTTTTTTAGTTAAATTAGTTTTTTTACTTGTTATAGCTTGAAATAATGATTCTGAAATTATTGTAAGTTGTTGATAAAGATCTTGTTCTTGATTGCATGTCAAATAATCTTTAAGTAACTTATTGTTCTCATGAGAACATTTTTCAAAATTAATGATTTCATTTATTTTCATCTCTTCAAAGGTCGAATGAAAGAATTATTGATCATTGAGTTGAGTATAATTTTCTTTTACTTGAATATTTAAAATTGTTTGGTCATCTCTTTCTTCTTTAATTTGTAGTAACAGTTAATTAGAGATTTCTTTTTCTTCTATTTCATATTTAAATTCATCAATCAAATCAAAGTTTGTTGAATTGAATCTTCCAGATAAACCAAATTCTTGTTGATCTCTTTTTGAATTTCCTAATTCTTCTTGAGTATTAACAATCTTTAAGTTTGAGATCTTTATTAATAGTAGAAATATGGCTTGAGCAATCTTTTCATTTGGTTGAATAATATATTTGATCAGAATTATTGTAAAGTATTATTTCAATATTTCTGATATTGTCACCGATTCAATATCGTCAGTTATTCCATATGAAAACACGTGAATATAAGACACAGTAACTATAAAATATTGGTCATAATAATATTTGGATTACGTGTCTAGTTCGATAATATTCTACTTCTTTCTTTTTCTTTCTATTTTATTC